TGACCTATTCTTGCTCTACAGTCTCCTTTTCTCATTGATAAATCTTTCAGTTTCTTCACTCAGAAACATGAACTCCAGTGTTACTTGGTCCTACTTGGATTCATGGGAAATTGGCAAGGAATTCATTGATGAAGCCAGACTGTGATACATGATATTGCACAAATTTCAAGAAAACAATAAGCATTCAACACTAAATTAGCAAGGTGAAAGAAAATTCTAATGCACAGTTCCACATAGTTGCATAAAATAAGTGGAGAGCAACTGGGATATAATGAGAGCCTTCCTAGTCAGCATATACTTCTCTGTTTCCTATTACAAAGTACCAAGCATGTGACAATTCTTCCATTTCTTTTGACTTCCATGGCAGGAGTTCCATATGCCAGCATTTAAGTGCTATCCTCCAGGGTAGGTATTCTGGTAATTTGTTTTTCCCTCTTGGCATGGACTGGTACAACTTGCAAGTACTTTATATCTCTCAATAGGGATCTTCCAGTCCCTTATTGGACAGATTGTATTCACAACCTGAATTGGAATGGCACTCTACATTACCATTTCTTTAATGCATTGTCATCATCATTGAGACGTTGGAATAAATTGGGAAACATTATAGGCTCCTTTCTGCAGACAGTGGATTGCTGTGAATCTGCTAGGCATCCTAAAGTAGGTTTGGCATATATCATGTCAATCATATATCTTCGGATATATCCTCCATAACTAAAATTTTATCTAGAGGAGATGTTTTTATGATTTGGTCTTATCTTCCTTTCAAAGAGCATTTCTGAACTCCATTTTAGTTCTTATATATTTGTTTTTACACACTCACACACACCACATCTTAGGAACAGCTCTCATTCGTGAAATATCCACATAAATTTGATATTCTGTATTGCACAAACTCATTTTGCAGCCCATGCATGTATTTATGTATTAAGAAGGCTAGAGGAAGAATGATTCGTTTTTTGCTTAATCCAATTGAATTAAGTCCTTATTGCTTCTCTCTCAAAAGTAGGAACTCTCCATAGGCATTCTATGCAAGCTGTCTCTACCATGCCAGTCTATCTGTTGAGTAACAATTTGATTCTGTCCCTGGATATTTAAATGACACTATAGGTAAGATTTTCAGGTGGAAGAAGATTTCTTTAATAGCGTAATGTTGTCTTCCATATTAGCTTGACAGAACACCTCCTACTATTCTCAGGTATACTTTTGACTTACCCATGTATGTGGTACACACCATGATGATAAATGAACCTACCAGTAGCTGTGAATCTTTGCATGATCAAAATTAGCTCTCTTTCCCATCCTCAGTTTCCTTCTTGTTTTGTTATCTTAGTTCCTGAACTGTTTCTTTAGTCAAAAAGAAACTGAGGAGAAAGTAGGAGTATTATCAAAGTGTGTAAATTAGAGCTGTATTTGTCATCTTGAACTGAAAAACTCTTAATAGGACTTCAGCATTCTGTAGATGTAGAATCTATATCTCTTGATATCACTCAGAGCATCATTATTATCTGTAAACAGCTTTTTATTACCCAGCATTTGAGGTACTTTGTTGGAGAAGGTACAATCTTTTTGTTATTGTAATCTGGGATTGAGTTTGTGGCTTTCACGTCTAAAAATAATAATAAAAAAACAATGTCTTCTTTTGATTTACATCTGTTCTCTGGGACAACCTAGAGCTGCCTATCGTTGCATATGCCTCAATATAAGAAGGATTAACTGTTCACATGCCCTTTAAATATCCAGGGCTTTATATAAAGTCATGGAAAATAAGCACCATGTTTTATCATTCTCTTTGAGAAGATAGAACACCTTTTAGTGTGTAAATAAAGTTTTATAGTAGTAAAATGAGATTAATAGCAGTCACTGTATAATGGAAGAATGCACTTTTAACTAAATGCTGTTTCTGTTGGTCCAACTGGAGTTGGCTGACCCTTATCAGCTTCATCATTGCCCTTTGCTCCCTGTTAAATAACAAGCAGACCCGTATGTTTGTTCTCTTCTGGATTAGTTGTACTGTATGCATTATGGCACATCATTTTCAGTTTCTGGGCAATAATTAGCAGCACTTAATCACTCACTGTGTCAGGTGCTCTCACCAACCTTTTAAACATTCTGTTCTGCATGATTAAACCTCTCTCTTTTAATAGAGAAAAATGCCATCGTTAATATGGTACTCAAATCTAATTTAGGAGATTATTGAATGTGTCAGTAAATTATTGCTTTTTTCTACAGGTCAGCTGAAATAAGGTTTCCCCTCTCCCCCTTTTTTCCCTTGGCTTTTATGTTTTTATTTGCCTGTCTTTTCACCCCCCCATCTCACTCTTACCCATCTTCATAGCCAGCAAAATTATTGTATTGTAGCTGATGTGTTCTTGCCTGCCACAATGAGAGCATAAAATCTACTCCTGCAACCAGGCTCATGAATCATACTAAAGTTTTTCACATGCTTTTTGAGTGAAGTGAATATTAACCTGGCAGCTATTTTCCACACAGATCATAATGCTGGTACTTAGCTGTTGGCACTGTTGTAACAAGCCTGAAACAAGCCTTCAGTTGTTTGGACTGCAATGAAACAAACAGACTTTGTCCTTTGGAAGCACATTTAAAATTTCAGACACATGAAAAAGAAAATCCTAAATTGTACGCTATAAACGATGCTTTTGACAACTTGGAAAATTGTGTAGATAAGCTCATGTATATCCATTGCACCTTTAGTGTAGAATAAACTGAGACACAGTGGTATTAAATGACTGCTTTTAGAGAAAATAAGGTATCAGTGAAATTCAAATTTTAATGCATTTCATTACTTATCATCGCTGTCTGTATGTGATGAAGGTAAAATAAATATTTAATTTTAGAGGGAATGGTGTTTGGAAATCATTGCTCTACAGTTTCTTTCATGTGGCAGAAAGTTTCTGGAACATATTGTTTCTTTAAGGTGACTGCTGAGCATTTGAGCCCCTTGTTCTGTTTTACACCGTTAACTTTTCTGTGGCTGAAGGCTGCAGAGGAAGACCTGCTGAGAATCTGCTGTCTCTTTCGGATATCGCTCAACCTCTTCCAGCCCTTACAAAGACCAGGGCCACAAATAACTCTGGGAAGAAGTAGCAAACCATACATCTCATCAGAAATTAATGGGGTGGAAAATCAAGACTATGATGAACATAAGGCCACTATAAATGAAGCATACAATGTAAATGAGTGCAGCTTCTTTGTGGGAAAGATGCAGAAGTGAGCAATTTAATGAGGAACAGACATTGATAGACACCTCCAAGCAATTTTCTTTCTTTCTTTATTTTTGGTTTGGAAAAAAAACCCCAAAACCAAAACCAAAACCCAAGGTGTAGAAGTGTCCTCTAGCAGAGCTTTTCTTGAATATTTTTAAACACACAGCTAAGGGTATTTTGCAAGGTGTAGTATTAATAAGTATATGAGGAAATGCCTGGAATTTCAGAGAATATGCATTAATTCACTATTCTTGATTAATTCTTCTTATGCTAATAGTGTAAAGATCCAAGTATGAAGCTTAAATATTTTAATACAAATGTTAACAATTGCTTTGCTAGAAAGCAGCTTATGCTACCTCCGGCGGAACAAAGATTTCTGTAGTGATCTTTTTTAAAGATTGCTTTTGATGATCACACTATAACCATACTAAAAACAAGCAAAAGCCTTTTGAGAGTAGTAAATGATATAGCAAGATATAACAATTTTCCTCTGAGCATTCAGATTCTTTTAAAGCTAATGTTGTTTTCCATCATTTTATGTACGTGGAAGTTAATTTGATAGTGGCATAAGGATTTTTGTTTGGAGGGGATCTCTGGAATGGAGTGAAGTGACCTGCTAATACTTAGACCAATTTCAATGAATCACTGTAGGTTCTTCAAAGAAATTCACCTGTATTGACTGCCAGACTTATAATTACTATCACTGACTCCACTTTTCAGAGTTATGAATCTAAAGAATCCTCTTTAGCATAATGAGTTTCATATTTTTTGCAAAAATGATCACGGTATTTTAAATCAAATTATACAGAATATGTTAATTATCCTGGAGTGTTTATTTACACTCCGTTTGAGAGGCCCAAGCCTTTAATTTTTTTTGTGTGTTTCAAACCTCTTGTCAATTTTTCTCTTTGCACTTAGCTCTTTTTTATATGCTGATATTGTGAGTTTCATAGAGACGTTGGAAATGGCTAACAAACAAGCTAGACAGACAGACAGAGATGCCTCAAATTTTTTTACTAGGTTCCAACGTTTCACTCAGGAACTTGAGTGTTCTGTCTTTACCTTGATCATTTTTCTGCCCATTTAGGAATCCAGGAATATCAATATGAATTTATGGTGTAAAGACAAAATCTAATACAAGGTCAAATTCTCAATACAATAAAAAGTGCCAGAGCTATATTAAAGTTAAAATCTAGATACCTTGCTTCCAGCATGGCTATTCTGAACTGAGATTTTATAAAATAAGAGATTTGGGGATTATGTGAATATTCAGAAGGAATTTCTCTTTGGGAAAAAGATTGACCCACAAACACCCGATTCTTTAATAGTGTGTAGCATCTTTAAGCTTGAATCTACAATTGCCCCTGTTTTCTAGGTTTGGTGGAACTTTCTCCTCTCCTGTATCCTCAAATGAAGCCTTGTAATGAACTGAGTCTGGGTATGTCTCCTCTAGAGTCCCAGTCTCCAGTGGTTTAAAATTGTGCAGCATATTGAGGAGTTCAGGGGGGTCATGACATAAATAGTGTGAGTGGCCTCTTCAATTGAGTTACATTGCAGGATGCATGAAAGAAAAATAAATGTACTACACATGAAAAACAGAAAACAAAAAGCTTTTGTGTTCTTGTCTGTGTTGTATTTGTGCTCATTTGTATTTATAAAGAAATAAGAGTAATTCATCTCTATTTATAATGAGTGAAGGGTTCTTATGAATGTTTATAGACAGTCAAATATCATTTTAATCATAAGGTATATCAAAGTGTTCAAATATTATGTCTCCAAATTAGTGTGAAGTGTGCAGTTTCCACACTGAGGAAAGATGTCCAAAACTTTCCTTCATGCTCAACTTTAGTTAATTGCAATTACTTTATTTATTTATTATATGCCAACCATCTTGCTGTTCAACTCTCAACTTCTCTGAAACTATTTATTGTTCTACCATCTTATGAATGTTAATGTAATAGCACATGCATACAGTCCTTTTGAGTATTTCAATGTTTTTCAGAGTACACAGTTGGCCTTAGAACATCTGGAATCTGCTCCTGAGAAACTGAATGTTTCTGAAGATTGTGGAGATTTGGGGGTAAGAATATTTTGTGATCTTTTTCATTTGTAAAATATATAACAGCATTATATACAATAGGGGTAAGTGTATTTAAGGCATGACATCCCAAACACAATTATATATTTGAGGTTCACATATTAGCGTGAAGCTGAATAGATTTGTTCTGCAGCAAATTCCTTCTTTACCATTCCTTTACCTGCTCAAAAAGATATTTCTCAAGGAGAGTCCTTCCATCTTAATTTAAATATATTATAATGCGCCGTAACAATTTTTAAGTGTGGTGTTTTTAAGATTTAATGAATTTAAAATCTGAAAATATTTCTCTCTCTATCCCAGTTTTTATATATATATATATTTACCATATTTTGGTACTTGTTAAAACTTGATATCATTTAGCTGTGTGAAAAAACTATTTGAAAAGTGATAATTTTTATTTGATGTATTAAGATATAATGCGAGATATAATAAATATAAGATATATTTAGTGAGATAAACTCCTCAAGCCTTATGATGTCCCACATCATGTGTCCCACATGATGACACTCTGGAAGTCTTGTAGTCTCGTAACTGGTATTCTTCATCATGCAATTGCCAGCAAATTAAATAGGAAAGCAGTTGGAATCATTTGTTCATTGGGCTGAGTAAAACTAGCATTACATGACAGGATTATAATCATGTCAGATATTTAAAATGCAGACTAAGTATTGTATATCTGAATGTACATATTTACTTATTTATTAAAGTTTATTTTCATCTAAAACAACTCTGCATGGTTTATACTCTGCCTGTTATATAATCTAGACTGAAATATAATATGATTAAGAACAGTTCCTATCCAAAAAAACCACACCCATAATATCATACCTGATACTCTTTTCATCTTCTCATACCAACATCAGGAGCTGTTTGATTATCCTAACATTTTTCAAACATTCTTCAAAAGAGTTAGGTCTTAATTGTTTTCTAAAATTATAAGAATTGTTAATGGCTGTAAACTCCAGGCTCTGTGCTGTTCCATAGAAGATAGGTGTAAAGATTAATTGCACCTGGAGTTTTAGTAGCAGTAGCACTAGCACTTAGATTCAAATACCACTTCACAGTGCTTTACAGGCCTCTCTAAGCAGTTTACAGAGTCAGCTTATTGCCCCCAACAATCTGGGTCCTCATTTTACTGATCTCGGAAGGAGGGAAGGCTGAGTCAACCTTGAGCCAGTGAGACTCGAACTGCCAAACTGCAGGCAGCCGGCAGCCAGCAGAAGTAGCACGCAGTACTGCATTCTAACCATTGTTCTACCACGGCTCAGTAACAGCCTCTTTAAATAGTGATGTAACAAGATTGAGATGAGTCTACGACTACTCAAGGTTACCTCATTTTGGATTAGATGCAACTTTCCAACAGTCTTCAAGTTTATTCCCATATAGAATTAATTGCAATAGTCCAAATATGAACTAACACAGACATGAATCTCCATCAGCATTCTCCCTATCTGGAAAAAAATTAATACAAGATAGAATTATGGAAAATACTGTTTTGGTCACAATCTTTAACTGCTCTTCCAGCAGAACTGTAAGTCCCATTCTAAGATTATGAATTTACTGTGCACAAATGAGGGCAAATGTGCCCAGAAGCCCAGCCTCAGAAATAACAGTGATATCCTGTTATGTGTGAAACAATGTCCTTGGTGACCTGCAAAGCCTCCTGGATGGCAATTACCATTCCTCTTCACCTTATCTAGCCACATACAATCATGAAATATGGATGGGCACATTTTGAAATGAAGGCACTCACTATCTCACCTATCTAGCTCTTGCTAAGCCAAGTCCACTCTGTCACGATCAAGTTATGGATGAAAATAAATGTATTACACAGGTATAGTATCTGGTATTCAAAGTAGTAGCTAGTGCACAAAACTCGTAAAAGTACAGCCATATGCTCCTGAGACAAAGCCAGGAAGCTGGAAATGTAGATTGGGCTCAGATCTACAATGTCCATTTCCCTAGAGTCACCCACTGTATATTTGTTGCTCACCACCATAATGCTAAAAGGGACGTGGTGGCTCAGTGGCTAAGATGCTGAGCTTGTCGATCAGAAGGTTGGCAGTTTGAATCCCTATTGCCGTGTAATGGATTGAGCTCCCGTTACTTGTCCCAGCTTCTGCCAACCTAGCAGTTTGAAGGCACATAAAAATTCAAATAGAAAAATAGGAACACCTTTGGTGGGAAGGTAACAGTATTCTGTGCACTTTTGGCATTTAGTCATGCCGGCCACATGACCATAGAGACGTCTTTGGACAACGCTGGCTCTTTAGCTTTGAAACGGAGATGAGCACTGCCCCATAGAGTTGTTAACAACTAACACATATGTTCAAGAGGAATCTTTACCTTTACATTTTTACATAATGCTTCAATTGCCCATTTTATTCTTCAGTCCTTTTATTCATACCCCAAAGTATTCTCATTATCTATCTCTCTGCTTCACTAAATCTATATACACTACATTCTGGTTGTTTTTGACTTCCCATTCAGCAGCCATCACATGTCTCAAACACCTCACTGAACTCCCCCCCCCCCAACAACCACAGTTAATCTTTCAATCTTCCCATCCAAGCCCAATATGGCATCTGCAAGAACTGAGACTCCCACTGAAGTCAATCACATGTTTGGCCCTGTTTGTACTACCACTACTGACCAGAATATCCCCAAATCCACCATGTTGTCCAAGTTAACCTTTAGGCTATTCTGTTCTCTTTCTCCTATACTATTACCATTTCACCAAAAAAAGAAAAAGTTTTCCCAGACAGGATGCAGAATATTTTCTTGTTAGTAAACCATAGAGATTTGGACTGATCTGTAGTAGCAAAATACAACTGATATTCATAGAAATCAGGGAATAGAACTGCAGATAAGAATTTTCCATTCCTGCTGATACCAGATTACCCCTCTAAAGCTTAACTATCAAGGAAAAACACGAACTGGCAATGTCTCTTGGGACCTGTAATCTGTCCAGTGCAGAAATGGTCATTTCCAAATCCATCCTAGTTTGTCCTGCCCAATCTTGGCATTGTTCTTTGGTAGTACTATACATAAGCAATTTGGAGTGACTGAATGCAGAGATGGCATTTTGGGAAGCCAGGCTGGATGTACTCAAAAGATGGCAGTGTGTGGACTCTGGTTCTCATAAGGCATCCATTTAGCGATTTACACTCACCTGATAGGAAGCTTTCTACAACTCTGCTAAAATCTTTGTAAATATCATAGCATTATTGCAAATATACCAGAGACTGCAACAAACCAATTTTATATGGATTTTTAATTTTAATTTTGTTTCAAATAGATAGGGCAGTGAGCCTAGCTAAAACTTTTATAAGTATCACAGGCATTATTGCAAATAAATAGGCCAGAGGCGGAAACAATCCAGCTTGGTATGGATTTTTAATTTTAATTTTGTTTCAAATAGATAGGGCAGTGAGCCTAGCTAAAACTTTTATAAGTATCACAGGCATTATTGCAAATAAATAGGCCAGAGGCGGAAACAATCCAGCTTGGTATGGATTTTTAATTTTAATTTTTTTTAATAGATAGGGCAGGGAGCCTAGCCAGCACCAAGAGAGATATGATGGAAGTTATACCAACCAGAGAGGCCTTTTCAAGTAGTTCTTGCTAAAATTACAAACCTTTTATTAAAATATATTTTTAGAGATATATTCCATACACTGTAACATCTGCTGATATTAAGTATATGAATATGTTATTTAAAGTTGATAACTTAGAACTCCCCTTCTCAAAATAGTAGTGAAATCTAGCAAAGGTCATCAAACATTATATAGCCAGTTTGATCTAGTGGCTAGAAACCAGAAGACCAGGAGTGTGTCTTAGGTAAGAAAGTCAACTGGGTGGCTTTGATTCAGACATTCCCTCTCAGCCCAACTCACCTCACCGGGTTGTTGTGGGGAAAATAGGAAGAAGAAAGAACATTATGTTTTCTGCCTTGTTATTTATAAAAATAATAAAGGCAAAATTGAAAAAAATACTATGAAATTTTAAAATCATAGTACTTCAGTATTATCATATGAATTCTTTCAAAATTTCCTAATAGCCAAATCTCATAACAACTTTCATTATTTTGAGGATCAATGGGTCCAGAATGATGCTTTGACCTTTTTTTTTTTTTTTTTTTTACATTCGTGAGATAATTATTTCACTTACTTGAAAATTTTCTGATTTCAGAATTCGCAGAAAGAAATTATCGAAAAAAGGTACAATAAATACAAGGGACTTGTGGGCTCATTACAGCAGCATCTGGAAGATTTAAAATACAAACTTGAAAGTTTTCAAGTAAGTTTATTTTCTCTTCAAAGTTTATCTTCTCTGTCTTTCTATGCAGTTAATTCAAAAAATTATCTCTAATTGCTGGGACTCTGGATAGTGCATAAACACAGAAGCAACATGCCAATTTTAAGAATTTAGTAAAAGGATGTCAATTTGCATTGCAAAGATCAGACCAAAGATTTCCATATGTCAATGTTCTGTCTCCAATGGTAACTTAGTAAGTTAATAGTTGGGGCATAGTGGAACTATTAGTCATTGGAAGAATAGAAGGACTTATGAGAAGGCCAGAGCAAAATCTTTAAAAAGTTAGAGCACAATACGAATTTGGAAAATTCACAGCTACATTTGTAATCACTATCGCATTTACCCTAATGGGTGATATTCAGAGCTTTCAACCTTTGTATTGGAAGTTTCCTCCCCCCTCTTCTTTTTCTCTCTTACTGTCCATATAGACTGATGGAATATAAGGGCTATGTCTTATGTCAGCTCCTAAAGTGAAAAAGTACTGTTTCAGGCAGCACTAAGATATATAGAGAGGTAAATCTATGGTCTATCAGCTTCATATTTATGCAAAATAATATGTATGTGATCCAAATTTAATGAGTTAATTGGAATTTTATTGGTCTGAAAGCGAACTTTAAAGTATGTAAGAGGAAGTTAAAAAAAGTATTAGAATGTTTTAATTTTAGAAATGTTTTTTTTAAAAAAAACACCTTGTGTTTTAAAAAGGATGAAAAAAAATCTTTTCCCCTTTAAGGTTAAAGGAGCTGAAAGAATACAGTGAATTTTGTTAACATAAATGGTGATAGTTTATAAAGATTAATGCGTACAAATAGAAATACATATCTTTTTCAACAGCAAAGAAGATAAAGCAGTAATGGTTAAATTGATTGTTCTGTTGAAAGAGGAGAATATATTGTTTTTTATTTGGATATCATTTCTAGATTTTGTGCTTGTGATGAAAAAACAATTAAACATTGACTTTGGTTTTGCTGATTAGATAGTTTTGTTGTTATAGAAATGGCTAGTTATACTAATGTGTAAAAATAAAAAAGTTGAGATTGTAAAGTTGTTATCTTATACTGTGCTAAAAGTGTCTGAAGTCAATCCATTTTTCTTTTTTTCCTTGTACCTCATTTTTTTTTCTGCCATTAATTTCCTATTTCTTTTTCTCTTTGTATTTTATACATTGATAAAACAATAAAAGTTTTAGGGAAAGAATAAGTTCTCTATTTGTTATGCTCTATTTATAAAAGTCTTATTTTCTTCTCAATTAAAGTCTCACTATGTTGGAGGAATTCAGCAAGGGGATTTCATTCATGTATGAACAGTTAAAAGAGCTAAGAAAGCTCAGAAAGTCTGGCTCCATTCTAGGTCAGGGTCAGGGTCAGGGCCAGGTCTTGCCCATCGTTAGAGACAACACCACTACCTCATTTAGACACACATACAATATATTTTTTTCCATGTTTGCCAAGTCCTTCTCTGTTAGTGGAAAAAAGTCAAAAGCCTATTATCTATTTTAGGATAATGCACTGGGAGCTTTTAAATTATCAAAGGTGGAAGATCAGATTAAGCTGTTAGCATGGAGACGGTATTAATAGAGTGTCAAGCATTTAGCTCTTAAACGTTTTTGTTTTCTTTCTGGTCTAAAATAAATCCATTGAATCTATTTATTTATTTATTTATTTGCCAATGCTTATTTCGTGCTGCAACAAAGCAGATAATTCATGGGATGCCACTTTGCAAGTTTAAGGACTTTGCGTGGGAACAACAGAGAGGCCAATTCCTGTTTATGTGCATTTTAGCAAGAAGGGCAGAGCTCCCAGCAGCAAATACAGAAGATGACCTTTACCAGAATTCTAAATGTTGTTGACAAAGACACGCAATCTAGATGGAAATTATATGTAATGGTATCTACTAGATTTACATTCTGAACACTGAAACCGGATTTTACCAGTTTAAAATAGTACTGTCGTAGTCATAAAACCTGGCTTGCGGTTATTTTGAATCACAAAAAATAAAATGAAATATAATCAACATCAATCTTTTTCACATGAAAAAAAAACCTTCTCTCTCACAGGATAAGAAGACCAATACCGATGTTTCTGCTACCCAGCATACACCTTCCAACTGGCAAAGCAGCACTAGTTTTATGACCAGCTCCTTGCTTTCTAAGTCTGAATGTAAGAATTGAGATTTCATTGAGAATCCTTGTAAACCTTTCAGTGAAATGACCAGTGATTTGTTTTGGGAAATCAAAAACTTTCTCTTTGGTGCACTGAATTTCTTCTTTCTTTGGTTACCGTAATGAGAATATAATTCAAGTTCTACAAATGCATAGAGGCTTTTCAGCAATTAAAGTATGTAGACATGTCTCAACCCTAATTGAAAGAAAGAAGTCATTGGAAACTATCGGGTGTCCTTGCATTTAACCAAATCATGTTTTTTTTTCCTTGAATGTATTGTCTAAAACATTTGTCTAGAAAATAAACTTACATTTTATGATTGTACATCTAGGACTACTATCTTTGTTTATTTCCATTTGAACAAAATAGATAGTATACTTCTATAAGAGAATTTAAAACAATAAGAGTCTTGCCAACTGTCCTTATCGAAAGGCAAGTAGACTTTCGCTTCTCATTTTTGAAGCTTCTTCAGCTCCAGAGAAGCTTCTTGGATGAGAAGTGAAACATCTTCAAAGAAAAATCAGAAAGTCCACTTGCATCTTGAAAAAGCATCTTTAGGACAACCATGACCAGGATGACTGAGACTCCATGGACATTTAGTGATGTCATTATCAAAGATTTCCAAACACCATCAGTATCAAAAATGTGTATTTCAAATTCTAGGGGGAAAATAAAAGGTAAACACTTTGATGAAAGGCTTGTACAAAACATGGGTTGGTCTTGGTAAATAAATACTGAATTGTTTTAGGCAGTTCATAAGAAAATAATCAATATTACAAAATGAATAATTTATTTTTAATCACATGAGATCTTGATGAATTTCTTTGGCAGTCCATCTCCAATACCATGTATGTGCAGTGAAGGGATTCCAGAAGAATTCATATAATAGTTTAAATCTTTGCCTACCATGTCATGCAATTAATTAAATCCATATTTCTCTATCAGGAGTATTGTCTAGTATAAAAATCTAGCTTCTGTCTGATGTTGGCTATTTTAAAATTAAATAACATCAAATTGTTATTAAGTTCTAGGCATCCCTTCAAAACAACTTCACGAAGTCACATGGACTTATTTCTGAAAGACCATGGAAGGTGGTCTTTCAGAAGAAGTGAAGTTAAATGATTACCAGACTTTGCCTGGGTTTGGAGCACTTCACTACAGAAGAACTCTGAGAAGAGGTTTCTTCAAATTCTGTAGGAGAAGGCTGAGCATTTCAGACTGGGCATCTGTGACATTGTGTGTCCAAGATGTCCTGGTTGGGCAACTACAGTGAATGCTGCAGGCAGTCTCATACAGTATGTACTAAAGCTGCTCAGCCTGGATCCTCACTTGCAAAAGATGGATGTGTAGTGTAGGAGGTTCCCAGTTTTGCCAAGTGAGTTGGAGAAAGTCGCTGAGTGGCACATTATGCTTCTAAAAATCTTCCAGATTGAGTGATTCCTTTTCATAATGCAGGAATTTCCACCGCACATTCTGAAGCTAACCAACTTAAAGCCTCTTAGCAACTGCCAAAGTATTCCAGATCTGGTGGTTCACACTTGCAAAGTGAATTGCAAGTAATCCAAAACTGGCCAGTCTTGAAGCTTTGGGAAATGCTCGAGGAGGATGGAAGTGAGCTTTGTCCTGCAGCACAGTTTCAAAATGATTCAAATTCACCAAGGATCCTTTGTGAAGGCCAATCAGGTCATCTTTTTTGCTTTAGCAAAACAAATCAGGTAATCTCCAAAATCTGACTCTGTTAATCAAAGCAAATCTAGACCATTTCATACAACATGAGTAACACAGTGACTGAATCATTTAACAACAATGCCCATGATAACAGCATCCAACTCTTCTGGAAGAAAGATATGGCAAAAGGGATGGAATACAGTAGTGAGGGACAATGCAAAAGAAACTGTTACCAATCTCCTTTTCTATACCAAATTTTTGGTCAGAGAAACTGGATAGATGAATGCTTCATTTTTTTTCCCTGAAGAAAGAGGAAAAACAACAATTTCTTAAGGGCAAGCAATTCATTTAGGAAGTGAGTATAGCACTGAGAAAATATCATGGGAGGAAATTTCTCATGAGGTTTACCCTTGGGATTTAATGTAAGCATAAGAAGCCAGAGAGACTATGAAAAGCAAAACGTTCTCACATATTCTTCGCCCTACCTATGTTACAAAAACATAGAGAGTGTATTGCTTATACTACAGGATTGTATTTGTTTTCATATTGAGGGGAAGAAAAAATGCTAGCATAGAGATAATGAGCCAAACAGAAATGTGCAGTTTGCATGCACATGCTTTTATTTCTGTTTATAAAGTCCCATTCCCGATTCCAAAAAATAAATGACATTATCACAGTAATCATTGTTATTAATTAATATTTCAGCAATAAAATCACTAGTAATTCTTTGAGTGAGAAATCTTGTCAAAGGGATACATCTAATTAACACAAAATTAGATGACTGGGTCTCCAGATTTTCTGATCCACAGCTCAGGGTTAAATTTCTCTGCTCCACTGCTAACAGTGAAGCTGTACTGTAGCTGAGTAATAGTCATAAGTTCAGCAACAAATCATATGCTTTACGTGAAGGGCCAGATGCAACCCCCAGTTTCTCAAACCCCAGAGAGCTGATGCTAGTCAATGTATATTACACTGAATTAGATAGTATAAGATAGTTTCCAACATTTCAATGAATTATTTGGCCATCACACAGTTCTTGCTAGAAGAGATGAAAAAGGACCGTGTAACTCCTTGGCAATCCAAGCAGTTAATGACATCTATTCCTCTTCTGCTGTACTACACAGATTTTGTTTGAAAGCGGGTCTCTAAAGGCCAGATATGTCATGGTTTACAATTTTCAGCTTTTACAACACTCGGGAAACCTGTTAAAAAGAATTTAGAAGTGCTGATTAATTGCCAGCAGTACTTTTTACTTACTACCAGTATCCTACTATATCATGAACCACTTTTATACCTTTATAATCACTCAAATGAATAAAATAAACACAGAATACTACTTAATGCTACAGTTAAAAGGGCAACACCATTGCAAGACCTCTGCATTGTACTGCACTGCACTATTAATGCTCAATGAGAGTGAATGCAAGGGATGAAACTTGTTTTGAATGATTTACTGAGAATTAATCTCTATTAATTAGTCTCTTTTAATGTAGGATTTTTTCTCAAGAACCAATCATTCTGCTTAATTTTTCCTCGTACTATGACAAATACATACAAGAAACTAATGTCATATATACTTCATGACATGTGTAATGTCTTTATTTTAACAGAAACTTCCATTTACTTGAATTATTAATGCTGAATATGACTTCACATCTTTTTCTTAACATCTGGAAAACCAAAGGTGCTGTTCGAAAGGCAGCTAGACTTTCTTTGTTTTTCCTTGGAAAACGTTTTGTTTCTCATCCAAGAAGCTTCTTTCATTCTGAATGAGTGGTAGAAAATGTCCACTCCACTGAATGTTCTCCACCATTCAATCAGAACTGAAGAATCTTCTTGGACACGAAGTGAAATATCTTCAAGAAAAAACAAAGGAAGTCCAGTTGCCTTTTGAAAAAGCGCCTTTGGGACAACCATGACCTGAATGACTGAGAATCTCCATAGACATTTAACATCTGGAAACATTCCTAAAATTCTGCATCTTGTTTACATGGTATTATTTTTTAATGCCAAACTATTGTTAACATAATAATAAAGGACAAAAAATATATAAGACTCTTGCTTTCACTATCAAACTGTGATGATAGACTTTGCTAGGCATAGAATATGCTACCATTGGAGGATTAGAAGATGCCTGAAATTCTTCTATTTTGGGAGACTTCCTTTTTTCAATTATCTTTAAATGGGAGCATGGGAGTCTTCCAGACATACACACACACTCACACTCTGAATTATTGTTTTATTATTTGTTCATTTTTATTTTTATACCATTCAGAACCAACTGAACTATTAATTGAAGAGGGGGAATGTCTGTGTGCAAACCAAGACTGAAGACAGTTTAGCTTTGTTTGGCTGGAAGATTCGTTGCTTTTTGGGGGGGGGGGGATAAAGCTGTACATTGAATATTAATGTTTAACAGTCTCATTTGACTAATTTTTCAAATAGTTTATTAAGTAACCGAGAGTTTATTAGGTATTTTGACACAACCTATGATGTATTGTATCTTATTAAGGTAAAGCAAATAGATTTTCTACAAATTGTAGTCAAAATATTGGAACTCACACACTAAGGACTTTCAAAACAATACTTGTTCAGTCTTGTTTCTTTTGAGTTGATATTGCTTGTGATCAGAAATGGAGTTTGTGATGGTTGTATGTGTTTGTTTGTGTGTTTACACACAGAGAGAGAGGGAGAGGGAGAGAGAGATTTAATCTGAGAGTCCTTGTTCAGATTCATAGTTCTGCTGACAGCACAATGAAAACTAAATAGATCCCCTGGCCCACAGTATTGTGTCTTTGTTTCTTGTGTATCTTTATATGCCAGAATTTAATCTTTATACTTACTACTGGGTATATTTTATATTCATACCTGTCTATTTAAAACATTATTATGGGAGCTAGCCTGACTAAATCATTTTGTAGAAAAGAAGTTTATCTGACAGCATAATTTAGACAAGAAGGTGCTCATCAGATACTTAATTTACAGAGGCAGATTTATTTTCAACTGCCACTTAACAAAGTCTGCCAAAAGGAAAAAGAATGAGCCACTGCCTCTTATCAAGGCATTGATCTTAAGGAACTATTTATAATAACCACTGGACCTTCCTTTAGTTTTAGATTACAAACCGATTAGCATCTGCAGATGCTTTGCATTAGTGTTCTAAATGTATCTCTTTCCTGTTTGTACAGTTTTTATCTTTTCAGTGAATTGACAAACCTTTTCCCAGAAGCCATTTTATTCCAAGGCTTAACTCTACTGTGTATACATGTAGGTATAACCCAAGACCTTCACAACCTGGATCTGAGACCTTCAAAATCTTTATAAAGCAAAGTAGCAGCAACTGGGCTCACAGCACTGAAGTTATGCTGCTTATTCCCAGCACATTTTTTATTTTATTTTATTGTTTTAAATCCTGCCCTCATTATTTTTACAAGTAACTTGATATGGCAAACATATCCAACATACCCCTATTTTCCCCACAACAACCCTGTGAGGTGAGCTGAGAGAGGGTGACTGGCCCAAAGTCAACTAGCTATCTTTCATGCATCAGGTAGGACTAGAACTCATGTTTCTAGCCTAATGCCTTAACTACTGGACCAAACTGGCTCTCTACTATAAATTATTATTAATGTAAGCATTAATTATACAGAATGTTTAGAGCATTTTGTATACCTTATCTCAGTAATAGCAGTAGACTTATATACCGCTTCATAGGCCTTTCAGGCCTCTCTAAGCGGTTTACAGAGAGTCAGCATATTGCCCCCAACAATCT